AAAAAAAAAAAAAATCAGAAATACCTTTAAACTTTTGAAGAAAAATAAGATAAAATAGAATCATAAAAATATTTAACTATCCCAAAAGAAGTGGGGGAAAGGAGAAAAGGAGAAGAAATTACAGATAGAACAGAAAATATGATGGACTTAAACCTACCCATTCGAATGATCACTTTACATTTTAATGGACTAAACACCTCAATTTAAAGATAGAGATTGTGAATGGATTAAAAAGCAAGGTGTATTCTGAATGTACATATATATTTAACAAAGTATATGCTGCTTATATGAAACACATATGGAATATAAACATACAAATAAGTTAAAAGTAAGAATGAGAGCTGAGCACAGTGGCTCATGCCTGTAATCCCAATGCCTTGAGAGACTGAGGATTGCTTGAGGTCAGGAGTTTGAGACCAGCCTGGGCAACATAGTGAGACCCCATTTCTAGAAAACATTAACAAAATTTAGCCAGGTGCAGTGGTGTGCACCTGTAGAGCCAAAAACTCAGGAGGCTGAGACAGGAGAATCACTTGAGCCTGCAGTGAGCTATGATGGCACCACTGCACTCCAGTCTGGGCAACAGAGTGAGACTCTGTCTCTTAAAAAAAAAAGGATGAGTAAAAGTTATAGCATGTAATCCAAAGAAAGCTGGAGTAGCTATATTAATATCAAAGTAAATCTCAGAGCAAATATTATCATGGATAAAGAAAGTAATTTCATAATGATCAAGTAGTCAATTTATTAGGAAAGCATAGTAATATTAAACATTTCTATACAAAATAACAGAGCTTCAAAACATTTAAAACAAAACCTGCTAAGGCTGCAAATAGAAATAGATAAATCCACAATTATAGCCACAGACTTCAATACCTCTCTATAAATAATTCATAGAATAGGTAAACAGAAAATCAGTAAGGATACAGATTTGAAAAACACTATCAGCCGACTTGACCCTGTTGGCATTTATAGAACACTCAATAAGAACAGAATACTCTATTCCTTCACACACACACAGGTGACTTACTAAGATGATCATATTCTGGAGCATAAAACAAACCTTAATAAATTTAAAAGGAGTCAAGTCATATAAATTATGTTCCCTGCCCCAATCAAATTAAATTAGAAATCAATACTATTATACAAAGGTCTCTGGAAACTAAATTACATACCTAAATAACCACTGAGTCAAAGAAGAAATCATAGCAGACACTTTGGAAATACAGCATATCAAAATTGCTTTCAAAGGCTTTATTTTTACATTTGAAAAAAGAAGATATTTTCCAATTTTGGCACTAGGATTCATGCAAGGATCAAGCCCTCAAAATTCCTGCTCTGGACCTGTCCCGCCATCTGCGTGAAGACTGAGCGCTGACTTACGAGGACAGAGAGGCGGGCGGGAGAGTCAGAGGAACTGAGAGCTCTAAATTAGGCAGTAGCGGAAACTGCAATTCGAAGTTAACAGAGCTGCAACAGTCATTCCAAAACTCACAGAAAAGAAAAAAGTCTCCAAAATCAAAAGCAACACACAGAAAAACCTTTAAAGATGTAAACACGATTCACTTTGGCCAAGAAAATATAGAGACGATAGTATCCACTGCATAGGGTCGCTGTGAAGATCTAACCAAATAATGCGTGGAAAGCACCTAACAGGGTCCCAGGCACACAGTGGGTGCTTGGTGAACGTTAGGCATCCGCACATCGTTACTTTTCTTGAGTCTGATGCTATGAATAATAGCTTTTGTGTATTGTTACATTTTAATTAAAAATAACGTTTTAAAAGGCATGTTATCTTCCTACGTAAAAGAAAGTATTATCTCTATATGACAAATTTAAGTTTTGTCACTAAACCCTTTTTGAGTACAGAAGGAAAAATCTTTCCCATTTTCATTGGCCACCTCAATAAAATTTTCCTCCAGAAAAGTCCAAATGAAGCAAAGTTTAAATTCCAAATCAGGCTCCTGAAAAGGGTTTGTTCAATCACATGCCATCAGGGGCAATATTCATCCTGAACTCCAGGAATTACCTCCTTCGGTCGTGCCGGCCAGAATCCAAGGGCTCGCTGCGGACCAGCCTATTTCGTTCATGCAGGAAACACCGATGCTGTAATTGGCCAAGGCTTGCAGCGGCTCGATCGGGTACAGATGCGGTGAGGCAGAGGTGTTAAAAATCATGACTGAGCCATTACTCAGCGGATCGACTTCCTTGACCTGAATGAGAGTAAAATGTGGACCAGGCATTATTAATAGTAAGGTGGTGGGAATGTTAGACGCGGGCAGGCGTGCACTCAGCGCACGTGGCCCTTCCTCTTCTCCGAGGGGAGGGCCTTGCTTCCTCTCAGGGAACAAGCGCATTTTCCCCACTGGCATTACTGTGCGTTATTCATGCTGCCCGAGCAATGACCTGAGGAAAATGCCTAATTTAACCACTCTCACTGTGCCAGGTAACAGAGCAAATAATTGTAATACTAGAATGATTATAATTTCTATAATACTGTAAAATAAAGTAGCGCCTCCTCTCTCAGAGCTACTTCAATTCTTGATTTTTCTTTCAGCTGTTTACAGAATATGCAACAGAGACAACAGATATTGCATGTGGCTGGCAAAGCCTGAAATATTTACTATCTGGCCTTTTAAAGAAATTATTTCCAAATCCTGCTTTAGAAGATGGGTTTCTTGATTTTATTTTATTTTTTAAAATCTGTATTTTTTTTAGTATGTAACCTGAAGAATCTTGCCTTAAGGCTAGTTTTAGTGTATCCTTTATTCCTACTTCCGTCCCAATGGAAACTCAACTCCAAAAGCACACATAGGTAATGCAGATTTTATGGCTTTTTTTTGTGTGGGGGGAGATAAAGGAAAAAGTCATTTGTCCCTCATCCAGCAACTTTTCTCCAAATCTCCTCATCTTCCTCTACAGACTCTACTAGTCTCTTTACAATCCTCTCCACATGCATGCATGCACAGGAGAGTGGCGTTCCCAGCAAAAATCTAGTCCCAGGCAAACTTCCACCTTTTCCCTTAAGCATAGCTCCTCTCTGGGAATGGGCATAGAAGAGAGTTTGGGATTTTTTTCAACTATATGCTTTTTCAAAATTTCTACCATGTGTAGTTCTTATAAAATCAGAAGAGACAAAATGGTATTGGCTAAAACAGAAGCAACCAAAAGCAATTTGGGAAAAAAATCTTCAGCCCACAAAATGTATTCCCATTAATAATTGGCTTGCAATTATAGGCTGTGGATATATCATGCTGTTATTTTAGAATATGTGTGTTTGAAATTTAGGCCAAGGGGCCATAAATAAACATTTTGGAATTCCAGATGCCCCAGTGGGTACCATGAGGGTGGTGTGGGGGCTGAGTGTCCCCTCTGACTCAGACCCCATGGTGGGGGGGCGGGGGCCAAGAAAGTACCAGTTGGCCTGAGGACCCACCAGAGGAGAGACAAAAAGCAGTATGCTTATCTTGGTGGTGGCTGTTGGCAGATACTACTTTTTGTTTTTTCACATAGTGTATGCACCTACTTCCTGGTGACCAAAGCTAAGGGGGAGGAAACCTTTGGCTGTCCACCCCCGCCCCATTTCCGGAGTCATGCGAGGAGCATTTCCAGGCACAGGGACACCCTTTGAGAACATGTTCCTGGAAGAAGACGGGGTTTCTATAACAGTCCTCAGTGGGTCCTAGGGGAAAAGAGGCCATGTAGTGGCAAGAAGTACGTGAGGGAGTTAAAAATAGGAATGGAGTACGTGGCCCAAAAATGGGTGAAGAAAGGAACCAACATCAGCACCAAAGGAAGCAAGCGGGTGTGTCCTGCTAGTGCGTGGATCTGAACCTCGTCCAAAACATTCATTTGTTACCAAGTCAGAGTTTAAAATTATAATTTTACAAAACTAGACTTGGTCCTTTCAAAACTAAGAATACACTGTTAATAGAATATAAACATATAACTTCTAGAGCCTGAGCTGACTAACCCCGTTGGGACTGCCAGAGAAAATAAAGGATGCCCAGTTACATTTGAATTTCAGAAAAACAACAAATAATTTTTTAGTGTAGGTATGTAACAAGATTACTGATGTAATTTAACGGGTGTTCTGTATTCTTATGTCGTAAATCTGGCACCCCTACCAGAGACGGAAGGGAGAATGGATGATTGGAGGCCAAGCTAGCCAGGGGGACAAGGACAGAATAAGCACATCCAGCACCACGGGATCCAGGATGGGCAAGAAGGGCCTGGAATTTGGCTGTCCCAGGACGGTTCTTCATGTGGTACATGGACACCCAAAGCCACGACAGAGAGAGAGCAGGTGAAGCTTGTGTGTGATCATCTTCTACCTCCAGGGGTGACCTGGTGTTTTTCAGACCTTCCAACTGTCCTACCCCACCTCGCGTCCACCCTGAGACCCATTCTCTCGAGGTAGGGTGGCACACCTCCTCAGAGTCTCCCTGGAGTGGGCCATCCTCGTGTGGGAAGGCACCTCGTGTCCTCTCAGACTCTTCAAACAGCTCAGCAACTTGGTAACTGTTTTGAAAAGAATTGATCCATGCTTCAGTTATGTCCACATATATACCTGTCTACTCCCAGGGAAACAGGCCCTAGTTGTTTCTAACAACAGAGCCACAAAATACATGAAACAAAAACTGACAGAATTGAAGGGAGGAGGGAGAAATAAGCCATTCAAAAATAAGAACTGAGACCTCATTTCTCCACTTTCAATAGCAGATAGAACCATTAGTCCTAAGATCAACAAGGGAACACAAAACTGAACGAGACCGTAAACCAGCTAGACTCAACCAACACAGACAGAACACTCCACCCAACCACAGCCGAGTATACGTTCTTCCCAGGCGCACAGGGAACATTCCCCAGGACAGAACTCAGGCCATAAAACAAGCCTTAATCCATTTAAAAGGACTGCAATCATACTAAGTATATTCTCCAAATTCAGTGGAATAACATTAGAAATCAGCAAAGGGAGAAAATTTGAGAAACTCACAATTAAGTAGAAATTAAAAAAACACACTTCTAAAAAACCAAGAGGACAAAGAAGACATCACAAGGAAAATGAAAAAAAACTTGAGATGAACAACAACAAAAGAACCTTATGGGATGCAGCTAAAGCAGTACTTAAAGAGAAATGTGTAATATAAATGCCTATGTTTAAAGAAAAAGAACTTTCAAATCAATAACTAACCTTCCACCCTAAGAAACTAGAAAAAGAAGAGCAAACTAAGCCAAGGCAAACAGAACAAAGGAAATAAAAGCTTAAAGGAGAAATTAATGAAATAGAGAATTAGAAAAACAATAGGAAAAATTTACAAAACCAAAAGTTGGTTCTTTGAAAAGATCAATAAAAGTAACAAACCAGGCACGGTGGAGCGTGCCTATAATTCCAGCTACTTGGGAGGCTGAAGCAGGAGGAGTGCTTGAGCCCAGGAGTCTGAGACTAGCCTGGGCAACATAGTGAGATCCTGTGTCAAAAATAAATAAATAAATAAAAATTATTTTTTAAAATAATAATTATTTTTTAAAATAATAAATTATTGTTTAAAAATCTGACAAATCTTTACCTGGACTGACCAAGAAAAATAAGAAAGAAGACTCAAATTACTAAAATCAGGAATGAAGTAGGGGACATTACCACTAACCTCAAAGAAATCAAAAGGATTATAATGGAATACTATGAACTATTTTGCATACCAACAAATTAGATAACTTGGATAAAATGATCAAATTCCTAAGACACACAAACTACAAAACTGACTCGGGAAGAAATAGAAAATCTGAATAGACTTATACCAAGTAAAAAGATTGAGCTGATATTCAAAAAACTTCCCACATAGAGAAACCCAGGACCACATGGCTTTTTTTTACAAACTCTTCCAAGAAACAGAAGAAGGAATATGTCCCAACTCATTCTATAAGTCCAGTATTACACTAATACCAAAGCCAGAAAAAGCTATCACACAAAAAACTATAGATCAACATCTCTTATGAATATTGACACAACTAGACAGTAGCAATGGTTGCACAACTCTTGAATATATTAAAAAATTGAATTTTATGCTTTAAATGAGTGAATATTATGGTATGTGAAATATTAATATATTTCAAAAAAAGTTGTTAAAAAATGGATATCCTTGGGGAGGAACTGTAGACACAATAAGAATTCCTAACACTTCCTAGTACTCAAGTTGCATAAGAATTAAGCAAGGCTGGGGGTGGTGGGCTGAGGGAGGAGGCTATTTTGGGGATAATACATGTTTTTACTCTTCAGAGAAGGAACAGCTGTTAGATAAGAGTGGGAGGCATTCAGAACAGAGAAATTAATTCCTCTTGGTAGTAAAAACATCTAGTTGTCAACATAAAATTCTTTGGAAGTCACTTATCTAAGCCGAATTGGCATGACTGGCTTGTGTCAGGTTAACATGTTTTTAACTAATAAGACCAGACATTTAGGAAACTAAAAAGATAATTCCTGATCCTACTGTATGATAAAGTACAAGGCAGAATGCATTCATATCTTCAGCAGATAATCCTAGCATGTTCAATAACCTGTTCTCACGTGCAATGTCTCTCCTGAGACTGCAGAGCTGATGGTTCTGAGCTCTGCTTTTGGCATCAGAGCTCCCTGGGTTAGAATTCTGGTTCTGCCACTCATAGGCTGTGAGTGTTCTGAGCCTGGATGGAGGGGTGGTGTGTTTTAACTAAGACAAGGTCTGCAAAGTCGCTGGGCCATTGTGGGTGCTCAGTAAACAGTAGTGTTATTGGCACTGTTTGTATTTCTGTGAAATGAACACTCAAGAGCAGAGCGTAGGATGGCTAACCTCTGTGTCTGATATTCCTGTTTCATACCAATTTTAGGTATGGGTAAAAATGGCTGAAGACTCTACAAGGCCTGTAATCCCCAGGTTCTCCCAGGAGATGCTGGCTAAGTTGTTACACTTACTAGCACAGATGACCTACCTTGTACTGGCCCTTTGTCCCTCATTGCCACCAGCCCACGAGGAGCCACAATAAGGAGTGCCTGGCTTCCTCAACTCCTGGCCACAAGCCAGCCCTCATATAGTGATATATTTTTGTACCTTAAAATTAATTCTCCCTGGTCTCATGATGTGCTCCCTTGGAAACACGTTTCTCTTCTGTTGGGCCCCGGACCAGGCATGGGAAGGAAGCAGCATCATGGACAGAGCATGGGCACAGAATGGTGTGGGCACGGTGGACACTGAGAAGGCGGGAGGCCAAGGGATTCTGAGCAGAGGTGGAGAAATGTCCTCCGTGCCCATCCTCGGGAGGAAGAAAAATACATAGATCCACAAAGCACCAAACAACCACTCCCCTCTTCATCCTGGAGGTTTACCTGAATGCTGCAATTTCTGAAGGGGGAGTATCCATCAAAACCCGGGACCCAGGAGATCAGAATGCTGTGTGCCGTACTGTTGTGGACGTAGACTGCAGTTGGTGGGGAGGGGATTGCTACGTAAAAACAAAGACACATACACAAACACAATTACAGACCACGGGAGCCCACAGCTACCAAACAAATGCATTAATACCCAGCTTGTTTTAGTTTTTTGAGATTAACAAAAGGAAATACATATCTTTAAGAGAAGCCACCCTAGCTTGAGGGTAATCATATTAGCCTGCACAGAAGTCTTCCAGTGATGGACCAGGGAAGTGGAACACAGACCCACTTTCCTATTGATGAAACGAAGAGATGTTTTAACTGGAAAAGGATGTGGAGACATTCACGTCTTTTACTGATCACATGTTCAAGACCCTATTGTGTGCAGCCACCTATGTGGGCACTAGTTCACTAAACAGGGACAAAGAGTCATTGCCCTGCCCTCGTGGAGTGCATGGCCCATTGGGGGAGATCCACATTAACCAAGGATAACAGCACCCTGTGCCCAGAAGAGAAAGGTGCCACAGGAGCGCATGTGTGTGCACGTGCGTGCATGTGTATGTGCATGCATGTGTGTGTATGTGCATGCATGTGTGTGCATGCAGGGGGAGAAGCTTTCTAGGCCGAGGAAACAGGTAAGAGTCAGTTTAAGCAAAGGAGCCAACTGCATCTGCTGGGGGAGGGGTGTGCGTGTACAATAATGAGTGTGCAATGACCTTGGCTGCACGTGGGACAAGGATAGCTATTTCAATTAGCATCTCAGGAGGATCTGAAGTGTGAGGAATCTTACTTCTTTGTGCTAAATTTAATTCTGAATAATAATTACACTCATAATCAAAAATGATGGCTAACATTTTTGTGTGCTTACTATGTGCCAGACACTTTATGGACTTCTTCATTTAATCATTACTGGAACCCTACTGGAGAGGTAGTCTTATAATCCTCATTTATAGATGAGGAAACCGAGGATCGGAGAGGTTAAAACCTTGCCCAAGGTCACAGAGAGGTTGTAAGCAGAAGAATGGGGACCTGAATTCATGTCTGCCTGACCCCAGAGCTTATGTCTCTCAACAGGACACTAGAGGCCTACGGCAGGGGACAGCAAGCAGACGGGCGTGAGTACCAGCAGGGACTGGGAGCCTGGTCTACTTGAGCAGCCGTCTGGTCCTGGGCACAGTTACATGCCCTCTCTAAATGGGAATAGTGACAGCACTGCTCCACGGGAGGCCTGGGGCAGGTGTGGGGGTGGAGCAGAGATGGCAGGATGGGCAGGGGAGGAGGAGAAGGGTGGGCTGGGACCATATTAAGTGTGCGCTGGGTACCACGTGATTCAGGAGCTTTGGTTTTACTAGTAGACACAGCTTGGTGAGTGGGGAAGAAGCAGCAGTGTTTGACTCACTCCCCTGAGCAGATTATTTGTAGAACTGGCCTAAAGTATCTGCCTTTCCAGATCAAAATTTGACCACATATACCATGGTAATAACAGATTAGAAGGAAGCAGTCTTGGTTGCTTTTTGTTAACACATTAATTGACCATTTCTTTTCTTGGTTGCCTTGGTATAAATTTAACTTTTACAATAAATGGCTTCAAAAACATAAGTTTTCGAAATAGGATTTAATAAAATAAAATCTTAGCTGAAATTCTGTGTGAAGCAGGAACTTACAGAAGTGCTTCTCGTTTTATACATTTTTAAACTTTAAGAGATTTATACTTTATGAAAATGTCTTTACAAATTTACACCCACTCATGAATTTCTGAAATTCCCAACATATCTTTTGAAAATTGTAATAATGAGATTTGTAACAAAGGAAGGAAGTTATACATTTCCTCCAGTAATAACTTTCAGTTTGCTAATTTTCTTATTCCAGTGAACATTTAGAAAATGCCCATTCATAGCCTTTATCCAGTTGATTTGCTGAAACCAAAAACAGTCCCTTTTTTGAGTATAACATATTTTATAATTTTGAATCCCCTTCTGTATATACCCAACCTTTAACTCATTATTAAATACACCCTGCTTTTTCCCAGCATTGTTTCTCCAAAGATAAGGTGAAAGCAATATGAGCGCAATATCTACTTCTCAATATCTAAATTAAGATCAAATAGTAAAACATAAAATTTGCTTGAATTTCTATGAGAGAGTAATGACGATGATTTAAAAAGAGATAAAAAAGACAGCATTCACTTGTGGGTTTTCCCCTTTTTTCAAATTTCAGGTTTAAACACCTTGGATTCCACAGAAGGAGGATAAGGTAGATGGGTTGGATTGGAATGTCTCCACTTAGCTGGGGGACCCTCATGCCTTTAATTCTGTTATTGTAATTCACTGCCAAGCAGGCATGGTGCACAGCCCTAGTGAAATCCTAGCTCAGAGGAAGCAAGAGGAAGAGGGCGATTAGGAGATAGACGGATGGGAACATTGGGTTCCGGAAGAGTGACTCTGACCTGTTCTCCACTCCTCCCTCTGAGTCAGTAGCTGGCAGAGACTGGTGTCAGGCCCCGCTGACCTGGAAAGGACAGGGTCCATTCCCTAGATCATGCCCCAAACCACCCCTATCTCCAGGGCTCTTCAGAGTTAATGAGGACAAGTTCAGGGTGGAAGAGGGAAAATTGAAAATTGGAGTTAATACGATGAAGTGTAGCTTATTTCCTTATTGAACTAAGCTAGTGAATGTTTATCAAAGACTTATGTGCCAGGCACTGTTGTGGGTGCTTTTGCTTGCATTTAGATCATTAAGCCTCAACAATAGGTAAGTTCTGTAATTATCCTCATTTTTCAGAGAGGAATGCTAAAACCAAATAGGTGAAGTGACTTGTCCAAGGTCACAAAGATTGCCAGCAGGAAAGCCTGGACTCCGGAAAGCTGTGGAAAGCTGGACAGCTGTCCACAGAGCTCACGCTGTGCTCCCACAGCTCCCAGAACACACTCAAGAACACTGGCCTTGCTGCTTACCTTTGATGTTCACCTGCACGCCCTTGGACACAGTCAGCCCTTTGTCATTGTGGGCCTCACAACTGAAGACCGCCATCTCCGTCAGACCTGGAAGGGAAGGAGACCCGTGAGACCAGCAGCAGAGAAACAGGCGGCTGTTCTCCAGAACCCATGGTTGTCTTAGCATTCTTTTATTTCCTGGTTTGTTGCTTCGAGTCCTAAGAGCAAAGTAAACTTCAAAGGTATGTTAGCTATAGAAAAACAAACCTAGGAATAAATCCCAAGTACTAAGAGCAAGATAGCCCTGGGCTGAAAAGGCAGCTGTTTCCATTTATTCACATCCTGAATGGTGTGATGTTAGGTAATAAAACATTGTCATTTAGACTTTTAAAATTGCTGGCCCCAATATCAAGAAAAATGGTTTCTGAGGCTTACCCAATCCTGTTACTTGACCCCCCAAGTACATACTGTGTCATTATGCTATAGACGGTTCAGAATGCCAGAATTAGCAGGATAAATGGACAGCAGGATGAATCCTTTCTTCATAGTAAAACTGGTCAATTCACAAGGAATTATTATAAAGCAAGGTATAACCAATTGAAAGGAAGCCACTAGTGATAAGTGAAAAATTCTATCATTTCAGAGATTTGAAGATATCTTAAAAATTAAAAAAAAATTATTTATTAATTTTAAATAGAAAGGAAGACAGGTTACCCAGATCTTGGTTTCTAATACCATTCTCCAGTAAAAGGAACCAGGGCTCCCTGGAGAAATGGCTGATTCTCAGATTGGGGCTGGAAATACAGAAGATGAACCTGGGGTGAAATATAACACAAACACAACATGCAACACATACAAACACACAATGATGGGGTGTGTCAAAGAGATATAGGAACTAACTCAAAGAGTCCCCAATGGCCAATGCTGGAACAATTTGAGCAAGAAAATAAAGTTGTACTGAATTATAACACAAAGTATAAAATAAATATCTATGGGTCTATACTGATGTAAATAATGATTAAATAAGTAGAGGAAAATAGACAAATCTCCCGTGCAGAAGAATTCCAAATAGTTTATGTGGATACTCCGCACTCAAGGAGGTAGAGCGTGATTCCCTGCTCCGTAAGCGCGGGCTGCACATAGTGACTTCCTTCCAACAAGTACAGCATGGAAAGGGGAAAAAAGAAAACTTGAGTAGAGATACTGACCAACACTACCTCAGCCAGATGATCAGGGTTCACATCAACAGTGACAAGTCATGTCGACAGAACGTACCCTTGATATGATGTGATGAAAATGGCACTTCCCCTCCATTGCCTTCCTCCCCAAAACATAAAACCCCAGTCTAATCATGAGAAAAACACCAGTCAGGTCCAAATTGTGGGGCATTCTACAAAATGCCTGACCAGTAATGCCTCAAAACTGTCAAGGTTATTAAATACAAAGTTTGAGAAACTGTCATAACCAAGAGAAGCCTAAGGAGACACAGATGACTAAATGTAATGTGGCCCCCTGGATGAAATCCTGGGACGGAAAAAAAACAGCAGATAAAAACTAAGGAAATCTGAATAAAGTGTGGACTTTAGTTAATAATAATGTATTAGTATTGGTTTATCGATTATAACAAATTTACCACACTAATGTAAGATGTTAGCAACAGGGGAAGTGGAGGGGGGCTTCGTGGGAATTCTCTGTACTATCTCCACTGCTTTTATGTAAATGTAAAAGTATTCTAAAATTTAAACGGTTATTTTTTTAAAAGTACAGCTATGGCTGGGAATGGTGGCTCACATCTATAATCCCAGAGCTTTGAGAGGTTGAGATGGGAGGATAACTTGAGGTCAGGAGTTCAAGACCAGCCTGGGCAACATAGC